TCGATAAGGCACAGTCATGAGCATGACATTGATGAATCGGCCCATTTACAATTCTACTGTGCATTAACGAGAAAAGTCCCCCCTTTGGGAACGGTCTAAAGACACTTCAGTCAGTGGCACCGCCCCGGGGGGTTGAAAACCTTTTTACATTTCCACAATGAACAAAACAAAACAGAGATGAGGCAAAAATATAGGGATCTTTATTATAAACGGGTAACACATGTTAATTAAAATTGCATGGAATGTTGCTTGATTGAGCCAATAATGGTCAAATACCTACAATACATATGCAAAGTACAGACTCATATTTTGCTCAACCTCACAAAGTACCTGGTTCACACAGAAAACATTCCAACACATTTATATTATTCTGATAGGCAGAGTTCTGTTCTTTAAAAAAACCTCAACAAAATGTAAGAAAAGAAATAAAAAATTAGGGAAAATTATTTACTTTGAAAATCTAAATCAAAGACATAATTCAAATAAAACTTACTTTCCCTATTGACACTGATATTATCAAAACAATATGCTGGAACAACTACTCGGCATTCTGCCCTTTTCAGTAGGGTGGGCGCAGCTTTTATATATAAACAGAGCTGCAAACTGGCTACGAAAAAACTTTTGGACCCATTGAAAACTCATGCTGTGAGACTAAAGATTTATGAATCATATTGTCCAATATAGAATGACCAAGACTTTGAAACAATCAACCTGAAGTAGCGCAAAATCTGGACAATTTCTGAAATTAGGATTTTGGATCTATTCGGAAAATCAGCACCTATGTAGAGCATTGTGCTTCTGCCGCTAAAGTATTTAGAATGAAAAACGTGCAAAGTAGTCAGAGAAGAACACATTTCTAAAGGTTTGCCAGAAAAATACAGCTGCACTATAACCACTATTCATGACTTCAGAAACTCATTTAACCATAAAACTGCATTTAATTCTTAAGGGTCACCAAGTTCAGCCACAATGTAATAAGTTTACAAGTGTTATAGATATTACAAAGCACTACTTTCCATATGTAATAAGCTTGTCTACAATTTCAAATCAAGAAATAAGTGGCCCCCATTCAGCAGTACAATTGGAAAAAAGTATAAATTTAGAAATTAGAAAAGGCACACACACACATACATTATTATAGATAATACAAATATTGCACGATATTGTCAATACTACTATTTATTTAAAAAATCATAACACTATGGCTTCTAGCACAAGACATAAATCCTTGAAAAGGTTTCCATGACAGGGAAGGATGTCTTGTGCAGTTGTTTATACAAGAATCAAAGAAAACACCGACATCAATCACAGGAAAGCAAAAAAAAAAGTCCTTACACTTACATTTCAAACGCCAGAGGAGTTGAGACAAAGACAGATGATAATTTCAACAAAGGACTTTCAGTAGAGTTCTTTGACTGTGACAGCTTGTGTCCAAGACTATTAATACAGGTATATATATGAGTCGACGTCAAGAGAAAAATAAAGTAAAACCTGGTCTAACAACCATCCGTCCAAGGTAACCACATGTACAAATGTCCACTACCAACTTCATCCCTTGTATTTTTTCCTTCTATATACATATAACATTTCATGATACTGTCTAAGAGGTCCACCTGTCTCAGATGCCCACTTTTCTCCTCAACAATGAGAGGTCGTCTTGGGCAGGTTAGACTGTAATTTCATCCGCCAAAATGCAATGAGTGACAATAGCAAAAACATTCCACACCAATAACATTTGAGCGGTAAAACGCTTCAAGAATTGCATTTCTAAGGAAAAGCAGATGTGCAAAGCTAGAATAACTTTTGTAAGTTAAAAAATGAAGGACATGTCTTTCAAGATTGGTTTTTAACAAACACAAGAGAAATGATGTGCATCTACTATTGTTGACGACGATTTACGTTTACAATTGCAATATAAAGATGTACATTAGTATGGCTAGAAACACTGATATTTGTGTGTCCAAAGAAGCAAAACAACTAAAATTTAAGAGTATTTTTTGTGACATGGTTATTTTCAGTTTCTGCACACAGGAATCAGAGGAGTAAAACTATTGAATCTTGAGAGAGAGAGAGAGAGAGAGAGAGAGAGAGAGAGAGAGAGAGAGAGAGAGAGAGAGGGAGGGAGGGAGGGAGGGAGGGAGGGAGGGAGGGAGGGAGAGAGAGAGAGAGAGAGAGAGGGAGAGAGAGTATGTTTCAACTTGGCTATATGTGACTATTCACCACAAGAAGCACTTAATAATCTATAGTTACGTCAGAAGCAGATGAAAGTTAAGTGAGATGCAGAGAAAGAGCAAGTTCCTTCATTGATTCTTCTCAGTTGTAATGTGAGGTACAATAGGTTTTAATTTTCTGTGCTCAATTTCTATAATCGTTTTTTTCTCTAGAATTTTTCTGAATTTGTGTAATTTGAGATATGATAGTTTATTTTCCCATTTTAGACACACATTGAGAACTGAATTTTAAAATCTGGCCTTTATCGATAGGGATTTTAAAAGGTCAGAGTTAAATCTAACTAGAATCCTGTACAGTAAATACATTCAGAGATAGACCAATGTGTCTCTCTTGCTCTCAGAGTGCAAAAAACGCAATTCTTTTCAATAAATAGCAAGGAATTAAAGCTGAAGAAAAATCTGACAAATACCCATACACACCACACAATCTTTAAGATCTTTGGCTGGCATTTTGAGAGATTAAAAGAAAAACAAAAACCTATGAACCCCGCATTCAATTGGCTTCACAGGCAACTTTGGGAAAGTACTCACATCTTTCTCACACTAAACTTCAAGAAAACAAAAAGAGCAGAGCAGTAACGCAGTTCTTTGTACAGTACCAGTAGACACATTATGCAAAATCACTTCAGGTAACAGATTACAGAATAATACTTCAGAGAAAAATGAATACAGTCGAACCTGCTCCAACGGCCACCTGTACAAAACAATCACCTGTGCAAACGGTCGCTTCCCATTTCCTCCCTTGTGCATTTTATTAACATTATAATTATAATGATACTGTGTAAGATGGACATCTGTCAAAACGGTCACTTTTCTCAGCAACAAAATGTGGCCGTCTTAGACAGGTTCAACTGTACTACTTTTTCGTCATTGTTTATCTGGCGTGTTATTTTTCTAAGCAGAAGATAATTAACACGCAGCAAGAAGATACCAGTCCATATTAAACACATTTCAAGACACCCCTTTTGCAAGTACTAGTAAATGGGCATGTCAAATAATATCATTTGCTGCAACAACATATAAAAGAATAAAATACCGCAAATAATAGTAGGCGATTCTGGCATCACCTTTCACCAGGAGAGTATTTTTTCAAAAGCATTCAGCTATAGTGCACTCTGTAATTATCACTCAACAGAAAACGAAAGCATAGTTTTCCAATCCAATACTATTAAACAAAAGAGTACCCCAAAAACCCTGTCAAACACTCAACCATACTGAAGCAAGAAAACATATTCATTAAAATAAAAAAGCATTCTTATACCACACCATTGCTGTGTCAATGTGGCACTCAATCATTTATCGCATCGTTGACTTGCTCGTCTTAAAAAATATCCACCATCTTATTTGCAGAGAGGCACATAGTATTGAAGAGTTATCATCATTTAATAGATAGATAGATTTCTTCAACCATTCAATAGAAATGTTGGTTTTCAAACAGCAAAGATCAAATCAGGGAAGGCTTTGATATTCATATCCCTTGATTTCTTCACACACGAAGAATAAAAACAAAATAAGGTAACAGCTGTACCTAAAAAGTTACACAGTAGTTACTCTAAAATGCATATATTTCAAGTTTTGCCAGATTAAAGAGATTAGCACGATACAGCTGAGGGACACATCTTTGCAGTCCCGGACAGAAATGTTTATGCGGTGGTGTTCATTTTTCAGACCTGAATGTGTACCCATAAAATACAAAATGAAGTACAGTATGGCGTTAATTTCACAGACAGAGAATTTGACGATACTATGGAATTGAACACCACAGCACATAAAATGAACAAAAAAAATTAATTTAAACAATGTATAAAAAAAACCAGTAGAAAAATAGAAAACTCAATAAAACGAAACTGCAATGCCCTGTACGTGCTACTTTTACTCTACACTACAATAGTTCCCAACGAAATGTTTTGCAGCATAGTAAAACTTATTTTTAAACTTCCAACTAAAAGATTCCTAATTTCAGACAAATTAAATAACCTTGCTTTTCATGTATCTTTCAACTTGGGCAACTTACATTAAGAGCATATATATAGACTTTTATCCTTTTTTTTTTTTGTACGACAAGATTAAAAATGGTGAAACGGTATAGGTTTAATACCCCTATAAACACCATATGTGTCACGACGCGGTGGAACCACAGGCTCGTCTATTTCTGGGCATATGGAGTTATTAGTATCATCTAAAAGCTTGTTTAGTTGTCTTGCTTTCAGTGAAATAATTAACCATTTATCTTTAATAGAAGTCGAGATATTTGCAATTGAAGGAGGTGGGGGTAGCCTAGTTTCAGAGTAAAAAATAGAGAGAAAATGGCTACCAAAGTTTGATGAATTCCAAAGCTGGAGAACCCTGGGAAACTGAAAATTTACATTTTTTTCGCCTTTAATTAACGTTTTTCAGTAAAAATCTTCACACAGATGTGGCTTTAAAAGGACATGAAAGATGTTTAACCAGAAAACAAAAATTTGATAAAAATTGCCAAACACACAGAAAGTCGCCTGTTTCATTAAATTAATTATTTTGACAAGCGCCTGATTTCACCACACTGCCTCACATATATTAGGTTATTTAAGAGGCGGGTCCTTCGAGTTTAACATCCTTTCAGAAAGGACTGAGCCAAAATGAGATATTTGTGTAAAGTGCCTTTCCCAAAGACAATGTCAGACCGAGCTGAGGCTCCAGACCCTGAACCAGCAATCTCAAGGTTACAAGTCAGGTAGCCTAACCACAAGGCTACCGAAGTCATTAGACACGATTAGAAAAAAAAAAAAATTTTCCTTTGACAAAATTTTACTAAAAGAAAACAAAAAGCATAGCAGCAATCAATACAAACATATTGCAACATTTTAAGTAAAAAAAAAAAAAAATTAAAAACAAAAAAACAAAAACAAATTATGGTTATGAAAAATTTCTGGGAACTACCCAGAACATGACACGAGAAGAAATGCTTTATCAACTGGGAAAACAACTTGAAACAAAGTTCTCAGGCAATCTAAAATCCCTCACATAATACGACACTAAAGAATCAATTGATGCATACCCTTCTCTTTCTTAAAACATCTACAAGGCATGTGTAAAAAAAAAATCAATTAGGTACAGACATGCACAATATGTATCACAAAAAAGTGAAGCCAATTTACAGTAAAGAAAGCTATCCATTAAAAAAAAAGGGTTGTACAAAGTTTTAAGGCTGAGGACCACATGTGATTTTGCCAGGTATTCGAAGAGACCATTCAACTGGAGTTCTGAAAACATATCTAAAGAATTTTTTGGGTCAGGCTGGGTTCCCATGGGAGTGACAGCCAAATACGTCATTTTGAAAGCTTGACCTTTAATAGAGACTTAACTGATATGGTACATAAAAGACATTGGAAAAAATATGGCAGCTCTTATCACTTTTTGACAATGGAGTAGAAATGCAAGCAGTAACTGCAGTCCTTGATGGGCCAATGGAAATCAGTTTGATTGGCCACTTTCAGCCCAAGGTGGGTAGGCTTACATTCTAAACGACAAATTTCTGTGTGTCACTTGCCGCCTTTCTCCTTGAGGCACCCAAAAATTAATGTAAGCTTAACACACATTCAAAACTACCCTTCTGTTAAACATCATATTGAAATAAATGATCATTTCCTGGTAAATGAACCCAAGAGAACGAACTATTGGAACAGCAATACATCGGTAAATATTGCTTCCAGCATAACACAAAAGCCAACTAGATATAGAAACCAGGACTTTCCTTTCGGGAGATCACCTCTTCTTGTGAAAATTATCTGAAAAAAAGAAAGAAAAGAAAATGAATAAATTAAAAGTCACTGGATAAAAAACAAGCATCATGCATCTAATGTAAACATAATAAAAGAAAAGTTTATCCAAGAAGTACTGAGTTCAAGAGGAACTTTTGTACCAATGGGAATAAGTCTGGGTTAAAACGTTTAAAGAAAATTCTCAGAGTTGTATAGCATACCATATTGTATAGCCTCAAAGGTCTTAGAAAATAGATTTGAAATCAGTGATAACAACTTTGATCATCAATGAGATGACTACATCACGACCTCAGTGCTTTCTTGTCCTATCTTCATTTTTAATAACAGTGAAAACAAAAAATAAAAAAGAGTGAGCTTAACAAAAAGTCACATTTTCAATGTTAAAAAAATGGAGATAAGACAAGAAAGCACCGAGGTCGTGACATGCGAGGGTGGAAGGTTAAACATAAAATAAGATTAAAGACACTATAAAACATGAGTAAAAAATTATCTTTACACATGGACGGAGATAAAAAAAGAGAGAGCTGAAGCTTGAAACCCAGTCCTAAATGGGTTGGGTGGTGCCTTCATTTTAAGCAAAGTGATTTGAGATGTATTGCCACGCGTCGCAGTCTAGCACAAAATATATCTATAACAGCCGTGAGCTCCAACCCCAGAGGGTGGGAATCAGGTAGAAAAGGCAATAACACCTCTACAGCACAAAAAGCAAACACTTGACTTCCCTTTTCAATGGGACAGTGCACATAGGCCTACATGACACTGGAGTAACAATACTTTACCAGTTCAATAAAGACAAACTTGAGTAAAGAAAAGCACACAGACAAAATATTGCTCATTTACAGTAAAGGAAAAGAAAGATACAAGCGGAGAAATAAAAGAATGAGAGTAAAAAATTAGACTAATCCAGTGGCATCCTTCCATCTAATTTATTTGACAAACAACGACTAATGATAACACAATATTATTGTGAATATGTTCTCATTTCTCCATTTCCCATAAGTTCAGACATTATTTTACAACACAAAGCTGAAAAAGGCTGACTATGAGCAGGGGGGAAGATGTGCAGATAGGAGTACGATTTAGGGGCAGACATACAGACAATAAACAAAGGAGTGATCAATGATGATCTTGAGAGTACATGATGAGTTCACAATATTCTATCTTATATTGTAAGGTTCGGAAAGAAAACACAACTAGAACTCCCAGATGGCAGCTTTCATTACTGGATTTTATGCAAAAAAGTCAGATGGATGTCATGTGTAGCAGTCCACTTAAAACTACAGCTTTGAGAGTTTTTCAATTCAAGATTCTCTTCTTTCAGAACTCAGCACAAAGTATTAAGTAAACAATGAATGAGTGCAACAAAATATTCTTTCGTCCTTTTCAGGAGAAAATTAGTGACCAACCATTATGCATATAAATGGGGGCAAGCATAATTTTGGAAAAAAAAAGATAAAAATCCCACATGACAAGGATGCACAATCAACCAATCGACGGAATAGCTGATTGTTAGCCTGTCACAAGTTTACTCTTCTCAACAGATGTTAGTGCCTGAATTGCAACCACACTGGTTCAGAAAAAAAATTGTGTGCAATGAATTTCTCGACATCACAGCATCAAAACTAGCTACCTACACTGGCTTTTCACCCTGCATGCAAGAGATATTAAATTGATTCTATAGGTGGAGACGTTGGTTTTATCAAGTCCGTCTTCCCAACGGGATGCTGTACTACAACAACTTGGGTTGGCCCTGACCAACAGGGTCAAAGCAGCACAGCCCATCCACTATATTAACAAAACAGGTTTGATGGGGGCTGAAAACTCTCACAATCATGAATTTTAACAGCTAATGATACTTGATTTTCACTTAAGTATGATAAAGAGGCAAAATTAAGTGCAAAGCCTTCCTTAACATACAACTCCAGAACTCTAGAGGGTTAGAAATGTTACAGAAAAAAAAACCCCAAACAGATGAGAATGGCTTTTGCACTTGATTGAAACTGAAAAGCATAGAGACAATACCATTTAGGTAAGGAAAAAACTCAAGACAGACGGACAGAAACAACAGAGAAACTGTAAAGGAGTATGATATACCAGTGATGCCCTCCGACCACCTTCCTAAGAGTGAAAAATTGTAAATTCAAGAAACTTTGCAAGTAGTCTGTAGTGTTACAAAACAGTACAGATTATAAATGCAGTAAACACAATTTCACCTGATCTTTAAGTTTTCGCAGAACAGCATAAAACCTGAATACAAGAATAAAAAATACAAGGAAGCGGGTAATGAAGATCTTACCATCATCACTTCGATGACAACAAAGCCAATTAGACTGACCCCCTGGAGGAAATATGCACTCCCGTCGGTGTCTACGTCTAGTCCTCTGTACACAGAGAGTGACAATGTAACCTAAGGAAGAACACAGGAAACACGGCAATAAAATGAGGATTGCATTTTGACAAAAAAGTAAATGTATAAACAATCAATTATAATGCACATCTTGAGAAGACATGTTGACTGCACATCGACTGCTAATTTAAGACTCCGCCATACGCCATTTTGAAAAGTTATGTATTAGGGAGTTTCGCACCGAGCAGTTGATATGACATAGCTGATTGCCAAAGAGAGCTATACCATTCGCAGAAGTATGAGAATTTAAACCAATGGTGAACTAGAACACCGCCATTTTTAAAAGAAAATTTCTTCTAGATCCAGAGCTATGCTGAAAGACCAAATGTGAGGTGTGCTGATAGAATAAGTCATTTTTCAAGATTTTACCCCTATGTACATAGTTTGTAAAATTTGTTGAATGAAATAATAAAAGACAAGTGAAATTTGAAGCAATGGCATCTGTTTAAAATGTACAAATTTGATGTGTCTATTTTTGGCCATCATCTCCATTCGTGGATTGCAAGAAGTAACCACATTTTATCAGCAAACCTCACCAAAAAAATGGATTCTCTTCACAGTGGGTGGTAAGGTGTTAAACAGACTCTCTTTACCTCATTTTAATCAGTCTCTCTAAATTACATGTTTGTTGTTGTTTTCAAATCCCTTTAGCTGTGAGCATTTCGCTCTTGGCAGCGCAATGCCTCCCTCAAGTAACCACATGTCTTTGTCATCTGGTCAACGCCAGAGTAGAGCAGGCTTTGTAAGTCTGTAGGTGTGTGTAGGAGCTTGCGTCGAAGAACTGCCAGGTTTGGGCATGAAGGAGAAGATGTTCAACGGTCTCCTCGTGGTAGTCACAGTGTCTGCAATGGGGTTCCCACATGGGGTTGATTCTGTTTATGTGCTTGTTGGTGTGTATGTGTCTTGGGCGGGCTCTGAAGATCAATGTCTGATCGGCTCTACATAAAAGATTCAAAGGGTCTTTGGGGTTGGGTTTGTCCATGTACCCGAAGAGAGATCTTCCTGTTTCTGCGTTGGCACATCTGTTTAGCCACTCGTCTCTTCTTTTGGCTTGGATGATCCCTCTGCAGGCCTGTAAAGAGGTGGTTGTGTCTGTCTGGGGCAGGCTCGCTCCAGTCTTCGATAGATGGTCTGCAGTCTCATTCCCTGGTACTCCAGAATGGCCAGGCACCCACTGCAGTGTGACCCGGATGCCATAGGAAGTGCCCATCTGTTTTACAAGGCTGAGGATGTTCCTGTCACCTCTGTAGTCTCCTCCTTCGACGGCTTGGAGTACTGACATTGAGTCAGAGAAGACAACAACAATGCACCTTCAAAAAAGTCTTGGGCGATCTGTTCCAAGGTCTTTACTATGGCGATTCTCTCTGCGTCATAGTTAGAGCTGTATGTTCCACATGGGCCAAATAGTTGGGTCTGCTTCTTCTCCCCAAGGTTGTTTCTATATTTGATGGTAGATCTATATCCAGCATTTCGTGTAGCGTTTGTTGCTGACCCATCTGTGTATGCATGGATTGGAGTTTCAGCAAAAGAGTCCACTGTCTCCAGGGCGCTAGTTCTGAGTATTTCTTCTGGTGTGGTCTTGTCAAAAGAAGTATCTAGAAGTCTCGTCCTTATTGTGATTTCTGGTGTCTGCCAATATGGAGGTTCGCTGCTGATGTTGGTGACTGGTTCTCTGTTCTTGGGTGGGTCAAACTCCTCGAGTAGTTTTGTTGCTTCTCACATAAAGGAGGTCTTCTGGATGCGTGTTCTTGGTTCCCACTCATCTGCCATTTTCCTGTTTTCGTTCGTGTCTTCTAGCCGCACAAATCTTTCATAGGTTTCGAGTGTAGCACTCTTTCTTCTGAGGTCCAGTGGTTCTATGTCGGTGTGGATTTCGCAGGCGCTTGTAGGCGTGGTCTTCATCGCGCCAAAAACAAATCTGAGTGCTTGGTTCTGTACTCTGTCAAGCTGTGCCAGGGAGCTTTGGCTGGCTATGGATTGTAGTGGTAGGGAGTAGTCAATCACAGATCTGACATACCCTATATAAAGTTGTCGGAGGGTTGCTTTGTCAGCTCCCCAGTTGAGTGATGAAAAGTGTTTCAGGAGGTTTAGTCTGGAGGTGGCTTTCTTGTTCAGCTCCCATAAGTGCTCTTTGAGAGACAGCTTTCGGTCCAGTTACACACCAAGGTACTTGGGATAGTCCTCATGTCTGATGGTGGTTCCATTGATCTTAAGGTTTACCTGATTTGCTGTAACTTTGTTTTTGAGGCTGAAGAGTCCAAAAACAGTCTTGTCTGTGTTGATCTCCATCTTCCATAGCTGACAGTAGGACGAGATAGTAGTCAGGTCTGCGTTGATGGCTTGGTTCAGTGCTCTCATGTCACTTCCTTTGCTCCATATGAGTAAGTCGTCAGCATAGAGTGCTTTCTGGCAGGAGATGACATCTGGTAAGTCGTTCATGAATAACAGGAAGAGGGTACAGCTGAGTGCTGACCCCTGTGGGAGGCCTTCCTCAAGTGTTCTCTGTGAAGAAATCTTGCTGTCACATGACGTCTGGATAGTTCTGCAAGACAGAAAGTTCTTGATCCAGCTGTACATCCTTCCTGCTATCCCAAGCTTTTGCATTTTGTAGAACAGTCCCTGTCTCCACACACGGTCATACGCCTGCCTCAGGTTGATGAAGACGGCCACAACATTGTCTTTATCTTGAAAGGCATCGCTGGTCTTCTGGGCAAATCTGATGAGGTGGTCCATATTTCTTTTGCCTTTCCTGAATCCTGCCTGTGATGTGCTGATTGTTCCGGTGCTTTCCATCCACCAGTACAGTCTGTCGTTGACCATTCTCTCGACGATCTTACCCAGGCATGATGTTAAAGAGATTGGTCTGTAGCTTGAAGGCTGGCTTGCTGGTTTGTCCTTCTTTAATATCGGTGTGATGTTTGCTTTCTTCCATCCTGTTGGGAGCTGTCCCTCATTCCAGGTCATGTTGTAGAAGCCCAGGAGTATGGACAGGGAAGATTCTGTCAGGTTGAGGATCATCTCATTGGTGACATGGTCTGGTCCTAGGGCCTTTCTCTTTTTATACTTTTTGAGGGTTGCCTTCAATTCCATCAGAGTAAACTCTTTCTCAAACACCTCCAGGTTTGCCTTGGGGGTCTGTTCTACCCTTTTGGTTAGCTGCTTTATTGCGTGGCTCAGTTTGTTCTGGTTTCCTTTCTTGTTGATGCTAGCAAAGTATTTATTCATAACCTCAGCTCTGCATGTTTCTCCCTTCTCAGTTGGTTTCATTGGGGCGGGGTTTTTCCTTCTTTTTGTACCTGAGAGATTGGTAAGCAGGTTCCAGGCTTTCCTCCCGTCCTTACGCAGGTCTAGTTCTCCACAGTGTTCTCTCCATGTTTGTCTTTTCGCACTTTTGGTCTTCAGCTTTACCTTGGCAGTCAGGTAGTTATAGTGCTTTCTGTTTTTGGCTGTTGAGTTCTTCTCAGCACGCTGTCTGGCTTTCTTTCTGGCCTTGGTCAGTTGTTCCAGTTCTTTGTCCCAATAAGGGCGAAACTTCTTAAGGTTCCCTCTTGGAATCGCTTCCTTAGCAGATGTCTTTAGTGCTGTGGTGATGCCCTTGTAGCACTCATCAATTGGGTTGGTCGTGCATACATCCAGGAATCAACTTTCAGATTTCTGTTGGTAGAGCTCCCAATTTGCTTTCTTGTAGTTCCAACTGCGTCTTATGGGGTTGGTCGAATCTCGTTTCCTGTTGCTGGATATTTGCAGTAAGATTGGGCGGTGGTCACTTCTTATGTCATTTAGGACAGTCATGGAGCAGTGCAGGTGAAGGTCAGCGGAGACCAAGGTCAAGTCTGGTCTGCTGAGAGTTCCGCTGGCTATATGAAGTAGGGTGGGAGGTGTCTTGTCATTCTGAAGTGAAATGAGGTTGCTTGATCTCAGTAGTTCTTCTAGAACTGTTCCTGTCGAGTCTGTATCACTGTAACCCCACAGTGGAGAGTGTCCATTGAAATCTCCCACAAGAATGGTATGTTTACGGTCTGTATTCGGGAAGTTGAGCTGGAGAGTAGATCTCGGTGGGCAGTATACATTGTAGATGGTATAGGTTGTTCCATCCGACTACTGCACATTCACTTCCTGCATGTCAGTCTCGTCATCGGTTTCTGGGTGAGAAACCTCAGCGGTGATGTCATTCCGAATGAGGGTTGCGATACCTTGACATTTGGTGCACTTGCAGTGGTACATTGTGTAGCCTGTCAAATGGAGCTCTATCCGCTTGGGTAGTTGGGTTTCCTGTAGCAGGGCTACATGAATTCTTAAGTCTGACAGTGTCTTTGCAAGCTCCATTTTCTTGTTCTGTATAGATGAAGTGTTCAGTCGGAGTATATTCAATGAATGTGTGCCTGTAGGTTGGGGGGTCTGTAGTGTCTGTGTGTTGCTTGTGGCCCCTATACCTGTAGTGTGGGTCCCAGTAGCTGACTTGTCACTCCCGCCCCCGGGTGAAGGCAGAGAGCGCGGACCTTGATAACCGAGGTGACATCCGAGCTTGTATAGTTTCATTTGTCGTAGAGCAGTGCTTCCAACAGCCGAAGCTGAAAAGTAAGGAAAATTCTGCCGGGGGTCTGGGTCCAGGGACAGCGTCCCGGGTGGGGGTTCAGGGGGCGAAGCCCCCGAAGAAATTGAAATTTAGTGCTTTTAAAGGGTTGAAAATGGCATTTGGGAGCCTGTTTGAAGAGATTGCCTTGACTAGAGCCCATAACATTTATTTTTTCACCAACATTTTGTCTTATTTGATTTCTTCACCAACATATCTTTCCATTGCTGGCAATGTTTAAAAGCAGGTTCTCCTTTCATTGCTACTATAACTATAATTAAATTAATTAATTTGACGTTGCACCATTGATAGCAGGCAAACCTGGGAATAATGAATAGATGTATACCTTCACAATACAGTTGCGCAGCGTATACCCAAATTTTTTCCTCAATTTTCACGTCTGAATGTCGCCTGTCACAACCTCAGAACACCATTTCGAATTATTTTTTATTTTACCTACGGCTGGATTGGGCCGATCGCCCGACTCGATCGCCTGAAACTGAAAACAAACACGTTTGTTTTTGAGGCGACCAAGTCGGGCGATCAGCGCGATCCCATCCGTAGTCTCGTAGTGGTCACCCGCGTATCAGCATATTATTATTACTTCTTTCATCGCGGCCCTTATTGCGTTCACGTGTCGTAGAATCTTCGCATTGATAATTTCTCTAGATCTAGATCTAGATCTAGACAAATTTGCAAAAAAAGTTTCTTTCTGACAGTAATTTTTTTGTCTAAGATCACAAGTCAATTTACTTGATCAACGCGCAGATTTTCCAGCTGTGGCAACAATCCGAAGATAGACAGAAGGAATTCGCCAGATTTTGATCCATCTGCAGGTAAAAAATGTACTGCCGACGAACCCGCAATGAATTCAAGGGACATAGCTGTATAATGGCCGATTGCAGGAAAAGCGCAATCTGGCAGGTTTCAATAACTTTAACTTGTTGCCGAGAGAATTACCGTAAATATCCGTAACTACAAGACGATAGGAAGGCCAGTACGGAATTTCGACAGTCCTGTGCTGTCGCAGTTTTTTTTACGGAGGGAGTTGATGATGAAGGAGGAACAAGTACGGAACTGGCAGAAAGTACGGATTTCCGTAAAAATACGGAAGAGTGGAAGCACTGGTAGAGGCATTATATTGGTAAGGGGTTATATTGGTAGTATGCATCCCTGTAGGATCTCAGGTAGGTGGGAGTCTTGTCCTGACACTGGCTTGTACCCAAACATCTTGCCACAAGAGAACAAAGGTGCAATGTTCACTGTCCTGTTTTCCATCAACCTTCACTGGGATTTCTTGGACAGTAGACAACCATAGGGGGTGTAGGCACACTCTAGTTCTGGGAGATGGGAGCCACAAAGTGCAACCAATGACAAGTGATCATCTGAGCAGTCCAGTAAGGGGTCCTATTGAGTAAGGGGTAACGCGTTCCTTCCACAGTGAGTCGTCTGCATCACCAAGCGTAGCTTGCGTTTTCCCAATCCCCGCCACCTGCTGTCTCCTGGCTATCTGCTATTAATATTTCCGTTCATGGGGCAGAATAATTAGAGGGGTGGCCAAATCTACTCAGACAGAGGATCGTCACGTCATGGGTCAGCAAGCATTTGCCAATATATCGGTAGGGACGTCATCTGTTTCCAGGCAGCCTATTCCTTACAGCTACAAGGCCTTCTGGGTCTGCAGAGACATCTCACAATGAGTCATCTGGCAGTCTGGGGGTACTATGCCCCATCTGTAGAGCTCCCACGAGAGGGAGGGAAGAAGATGTCGACAGTGAGTTCCTGAATGAACAGGATGGCCTGCTGTGATGCCAGACCTACCATAATGGTGGATGTGTATGAACCCTTCTACGAGCCGAAGGGTCGTTGCTCACTTCGCACCTCACAGGGCTATTGTACCTCCTGGCCAGAGCTCCGTCTGCAACCCCTACTCCTATGCACAGAGCAGGGGTCCCCAGGCTGCTCCACAAGGACGGGGAGTTGACTTGTTTGAGGTTGGCTTGCCAGAGAGCATCTGGGGTTTCACCCTCAACCCTTACAGCCCCTCTAAATTACATACCGTCATTCACAATCTCCTCTATCTTGTTCTCTCTCATTCCACCCAAACTGATCTAAATTGCATAAATACGGGCTCAAAACACTCTTTATCTCCATTCCATGAATCCACTTTTCGCCTCAAAAATGAGTAGCCATTTCAGACAGTTTTGACTGTATCTTACAATTCTTGGAAATATAATGTATAGTATCGCATTATTTGCTTCTCTCAGGAGGACAGTGCAAAAGAACTTACCAAGACCATGACAACCACAAGAGCCACAAACACCAATTGCAGCAACCTCTGAAAAAAAAGGAGCAACAAACAAATAACATTAGATCTTTATAACATGCCCTAGACATGATACTGACTACTGGCCTTGTAAAATGTATTGCCAGCAATGAAGTTACCATCATGTGACACACCTTCTACTGAGTTGCATGCTGTAATAAACAATAGAAATGAGCAGTCAAATTTGTACGCATTTCAATTTGAGCGAAGAGCAGCCTTCATGCAGTAAGGCATGACTTCACAGCATAGACTACTTGACTAGTACACACTTTTCAGATACACATTTATGTCAACAAAATGCGCCATGAGCCATTTCCAAGATTGTCAAATAAGAACAGACACTGTACACAGAAAACTATTTGGACAGTTCTTCACCAACAGTCAAAATATACTCTGAAAAAAAAAGATATTTTAACATTGTTCCAGAAACAGGTATTCTCTTACTTTCCCTCCCATCTCACACTTAGCTACCGGTTGTACATTTTCTACTATATATTGATGAGTTGAACACTTTCTAATCTAAATTTCATTTCCATCGCAAATGAATAGTTTTTGAAAAGTTTGATGTTTTTTAATCAAGCTATATTACACTTAGCCTAACCGCGTAGTACTTTGTGCGCTTTGGACCAATCAGGGGGTTTCAGGGGTCAGGCCTGCCCCCCCCCCCTTCCCCCGGAGTAATCCATAATTTGATATTTTGTAGCTAGATTTGAAATGTTCTTGACAATACTTGATTTGCAACAGTATTAGTAGCTTTATGTAGTATCTGCAGCAAAAAATACTGCAGTTTAGACCCCAAAGCAGTGCATCAGTGTGAAGGGGTGAAAGTAAAGCTTTACCTTGAAATGTTGAAATAAATAAAAGCATTTACGAATTATTACAAGTATAAATATTGAGCTATTCTCATTAATTTCCACTAAAATCTTAGCCTTTGAATCTCTCCAGTACAATGCCTGTTTTTAATTTTGAAATTCAAAATTCTCTGCATAACATGATAAAGTATAGCTTTAAATCAAACCAGTGTTATAGGGATCAAATATCTTATGAAGTAGGATAATTGTTTCGAAGTTACCTTCTAAAACTTTGAAATAAATAATAATAGGTAAAATAAATAAATAAATAAATTGCGTTTATAAAGCGCATTTCCACAAAGAAGTGCTCAATGCGCTGTACACTAATATAAAGAACAAATGCAGCACACAGCTCCTATAGTAATCCTCTTTCTCTCTCTCTGTCTGTCCCCATCTCTCTCTACAGTACATCCTTGAGTAAAGACAATTCCACAAAGCTTACCTAGACACCCTCGCACACATTGATGAATTCACAGTCATAAATTCTTACAGAACAAAACAGCATAACAATAAAAGAAAGAGACGAAAGAAAAAAATGGGTGCTGCAAGAATTCAAAACTTGGGATACTTGCATTTGCAATCCAGAGTACTACCTCCACACTATTCTTCTCATAGAAATTGTATTGCTGTGAGCCTGATAGTCAGAACTCCATGCATTGGATGGATCTTAGTATCAACCCATACTGTCATATACATACTTAAATTAAAGTTCTACAGAAGACCACGTGTACTGTGAACTATGTATATATATAGTGGCGTCCAAAAGAAACTTGAAAATATAATCACCCAATCATCGTGTTATAGTTATAGGCTTGCACTACCTGCTCATGCAGCATACCAATTTAAATCTGAATAAATTATACATCATCTGACGCACTATTTCATCTTCTATGTTAAGAGACGCCTGAGAGATGATCATTCAAAATTGACCTTTAAAAATCAGGCTTGGCAAAATTGTGCAAAATCAGAGAAATTCTAAAGTGTGTTTGTGCGTATATTGAAGGGCATTGGTGGAATGGACATGTATTGAATATCAAATGAAAAGAGAATATTATTGTCTCTGTAAGGAACAGCATCTTCGGATTGGAGAACAGAGCAGTAACAAATACCACATAAAACCTTGACATAACATAACACGTGCTCATTAGTATTAATTTTGTTATTGTTTAGGAGCTAATGGTTTTGAGTCGAGCATGAAACCTTTTTTGCAAATGGACGGGTTAGTTAGATTTTGGACATAAAGTCTGTCAGTGAAAAACAGAGGCTACAAAACTGCCATGGTTTTGGGCCGAATGTACAGAACTGCCCTCTATGAATCACCGGATAGCTTGGTTTAGTGGATGACATCAGGCAAATGCTGAAATGTCATGTCTTACCTTTACTTTTGTTATGTGTCTTTCAAGTAGACATCTCCGTGCATAGCATATAACTTTCTCATACGGCCAATGCCAGTAATTAATTCTTGGAAAACCAAATCAAATCAACGTTGGAGTGGTCACCAGTAAATAGCCCCTATATGTGAATCCTTATACAGGTATGTGAAGAGTAAAGTACTATGAAACAGCAGCTGAAGAAGTGCTACTTTGTTACCAACTCAGACCCTTTGTTTGCAACTCTCTGTGACATTTGGGATGAAATGATAGATAATTATGTCCAAAATTTAACAGATTCAATGCCCAAAGGGTTCATGCACTACACAAAACTAATGGCTCTGAAGCAAAATACAAATGAGCACATTTAATGTTAAGTCCAAGTTTTGCATGATAACTGATTTCTCTTGTTTTCTGTTTTGTTTGAGACTATCGTGACAAAACAACAAAATAGAATATTGTTTATTGCTATACAAAATTCTCCATTGATTGGATATGTAAAGTATGTCCATTCTATCAATATTGATGCTCCTCTATACACGCGCGAAGACAATTTTACGTTTCTTTGATTTCGTGCAAATTTGTCAAGCCTGATTATTTAAGGTCAATTTTATGTGACCATATCTCGGGCGTCTCTTAACAAATAGATGAATTATTAATGTGTCAGTTGAAACAGAATTCATTTCGATATAAATTGGTATGCTACATGAGTAGGTAATGCAATGTTTTAACATGATGATTTGGTGATTACATTTTCAACTTTCTTTTGGATGCCACTGTGTATATTGAAATTTATTATAACAATTTCTTTTAAGAGTACGCCCTACTTGGTTTTTTACAAACTTACAGCAGTTGGTGACTGGGTGCTATCATGGTACACAGCACCAGTGGTGATGTTTGTAGCAGCAACACTACTGCCACTGGATGGTGCAGGGGGGGGAGAAGGCCTTGACCCACTCAAAAGACCTGTCTTGTCATCTGCCATTGTGCTGTTTGGACTGTTGCTGAAGTGAAAATTTTCAAATTGTCAAAAAAATAAATAGTTTTGTTAAACCTGCTTTAAGAATAGTCATTCGTCTCTGGCCAGAAAATCACCTGTACTATAAATGACCATATTCCCCCCCTAGTGTTGTATCTCTTTTATAGATATAGAGAACATTTAAAGAAACTGTACAAGAGGACCACCTGTCTAGAATGATCATTTTCTCCTCGACTATGGGTACACGTGCTGCCTTGGAACCAGGAAAGGTTTGACCATCAAGATAAATTATTTCACTGGTGTTTTCCATCATTCCTGCAGGGCGGTTACGGTTTGCATATTTCGAGGGAATTGAGAAGAAAAAATAGACTGGGATTTTTCTAAAATGAGCTAGTAGGCCTATTTTTCGATACAGAGCTCAAGAAAACAGTGCACAAGGAACAGGGCTACAAAGAAGAATAATGGTTGACTTGGGGAATGGCACTGATGGAAGTGATCGAGCTGTCCATCCATGGGTTACGGATTTACCTTCATCTGAGAACTGGAGTTTTTTGTGCTCGAGTTATATTTGCTCAACTATTGTATCCAAAAGATTAAAATTGTCAAGTTCGATGTATCACGTTCCCTCGCCTCTCATCATTCTCTGAGGTCTCAAAAAGAGGGGGAGGAGTGCAGGCCTGACTTCGGCTTTCACAGCAATTGTGAATTACTCTTGGTCTCGGTAGTAGCCCATATCCGACCTTGGAAGGACTTCCATCTGTAACGAGCCACCACCCAACAAACACAGTAATTTAATAATGAAAATGCCGGACCTTCTAACCCTGACCTGACCCATACCCCAAACCCTTACCTTCTTAAACCCTCTACATTACTATGTTTCATCATCGTGGCCGCTTGTTATGAAATTTCTCCCCCCCCCCTCCTCTCTGATATATCTCTCTAGCTAGAATTTTTAATCACTGACTGTAGTAGAAGTTACGGTTACAGTTTCACATTAGGCCTACCAACACTGGAAGAATTAGTGAAACTCCTCCCTCATTTATTTTATTGACTAATAATTAGACTACACCCAGTTATAACGTAGGCTTCTTGGCTAGGCCTACAACTCTCACAGTAGGCCTAGATTCGGCGATTGTAAAGATTTCTCCATTTAATTCCGATTTGCGTATTTCATAGCCTCAGGCATGTTTCGCTTTGGTCCCTTCTTCCTGCGAGAAAGTAGAAAGTAAGCGTTAGGGTTAGGTTAAGGGACCAAAGTGAAACGGTAATTGTTTACTTTCTCGCGTTATTCCGGGGGAGAACTTCTGTAACGAGCAACCACTCTGAACTCTACGAATATTATAATTGTACTCAATGGCCATCAAAATAAGTACGGAAGGCCTAAAACTAAAGCCAGTACAATGTCACTAGATCTACCTACAAAAGATGAAATTGCCGTCGCGTACATGACATGTATTCTTAACTCCAGCGCAAATGTCTTGAATAACCAGTCAAGTGCATAGAGTTTCGTCTAGATCAAGATCTAGATTCTAGGTGCGGCCAGAATTAAATGCGAAAAAGTAAACAACTGCCATCGTAATATGCCTGAGGCTATGAAAAACGCAAATCGGAATTAAACACGGGAATGTTAAAAATAGCCCTATAGAATAGATCTCTCTAGATCTAGAGTAGTGGCGGGGTTGTTCGATAGGGGGACAGTGCGACAACCCTGTAGTATGAACCAATTTAAACATGCTAGAGTGTTCCTGTGTTTATCAACATCCGGCAGCACCCTTTCCTGTAGCACAAGATTATTTGCAGTTCGCTGTGGTTGCCTATTGCACGTACATAGAGGCAAATTATTTCCAGGCTTGCTGATTACCTATTTCTAACAGTGCATCGGCCTGCAGTTGTAAGGCTGTCAATGCATTTTATGAAGATGTGTATACTTGCACTCCACACAAAGCAGTGTGTTGTGCTGTAGCATCAGTACTAAGCGAAGCACGGAGCCGCTCAGCCTCTCTGAGGGGATGGATGGGGTTGGGGCGCAGTGCCGCCATGGCATCTGGTAAGGCGGGGTTTCGCGTCTCAGACCTCTGCAGCGAGAACAGGGCAATATTATATTGCATCAAGGCCCACACCAGCCACCTGAAACAGCCTCTGGACCACGCATTTTTCGGGGCCATTATGATTATTAAGCCAGCGTGGCGAGAGGGGGTAAGGAAGTTTGTGACAGACACCACGGAATCCGTCACACTGAGGATGTTTGCCGGCGTCCTGAATTGAAGGCCAGGACAACAGTAGCTCGGCTAAAAACGGCCCTGAGGGGATTCACCAAGTCAGGGCTGTTTCCCTACAACCCTGACGTTGTCCTCACAAGTGACAAGTAACAAGCTAAACCCAGCTGCACCTTGACAGGGTCCCCTGCCCCTACCCTCCACTTGTCATCCACCTCGTCTGTCTCTGCCCTATCAGCCTCTTCTGTAACTGTTTCTAAGTTTCTAGGTCTAGATCTAGATCTAGATCTAGATCTAGAGACTCTAATCTAAAATCTACAGTTCAGAGTGTTCTAAAGTTATTTGGGAAAGGCAAATTAGAATTAGATTCTAACTAGAAGGTCTAGATTCTAGACTTTCTAGACTACACTATTTTCTACGTCTAGCAGCAGCGGGTGGGAGATCGACTTTCTCTAGAATTAGAATCTAATCTATAATCTAGATCTAGATCTAGATTAGTTGCTTTTACCTGCAAGAGCACCTTTCTACTTTAGTCTAAAGTGTAGATCTAGCAAAGGTACCTAAAAATCTAGATGAAATCAAATGGCTGGTTCCAAATCAAATACAATGGTCAATGGAGATATCGATTTTTCTTCGAAGAAAGTACAGCTGACCACTGAGTTGCTGGATGTAAACAAAGCAGTAGTCAGTAGTCAGTATCACATGTCACATGTCAGTCAGTCAGAGACCCGTGGGCTAGGCTATCTCTGAAAGGAAAATTGCCATTGGACAAAAATTCATGATCGTCACGAGACTGGCGAAACAAAAAAGTTATAACATAGCCTAAACTAGCCTACCAGTTTGACTTTTTGACTGCTAGATCTACAATCTAGATCTAGATCTACGCAACACGTCTATCACATCACATGACAACAAGATGGCGAACACCGCAGAGTCTGGCGCTTCATCGGCAACGACCACTGATCAATATGCCATATATTTTGAATTAAGCCCCAGACTGGTATGAACTTAACCTAACAAAGACAAATTATGCTAAAATCTAGATTTAGATCTAACTTAGGTTAATTTTTACTTATGCACCCAGATGCACTGATTGAGGGTTAAACTGCCACAATTTTTGCAGCAGAACATGACATCATAGCATGGCATAAAATTAAAAAAGAACGAAGCTAGACTCGTACGGCTAGACTCTCAGGCTAGCCGTATTTACGATCTAGGTTTGGCCCTATCGACTCAAACCTGTTGAGTACACAGGTCTCATTAGATCTAATCTAGAGCCTATGTACGGCATACCGACACCTTCGTGTTTTGTGATGACTATTTCCGGAAGTGAACTTTTATTTTACCATAACTTCGGCTCTTTCAAAAACATCGACCCAAAATTTCGTTTAGTTCAGAGGCCAGCCTTTCCTGTCGATGTGGGGTGAAGTTTTTAGTCAGATAGTGTATAAGAAGCGAAGTGGCTAGCCGTACTTAAGTACGGCTAGATTGCCAGTCTAGCCGTACTTAGAAGTTAGATCTAGATCTAGATCTAGATTTGGCCCTTCTATCGACTCAAGCCTGTTAAGTACACAGGTCTCATTAGATCTAGAAAATCTAGATCTAGTAATTATTCAGGTTCAAATACATGCAAGTCAGTAAGGCACCTTTTGTTTTTGTCTGAAAAACAAATACTAGGCATTGCAAACTAAAAATTTCATTTACAATTCAGCCATGAATATTAAGTACGGCTAGCCTGGCAGTCTAGCCGTCCTTAAGTACGGCTAGCCTGGCTGTCTACCCGTACTTAAGTACGGCTAGACTGCCAGTCTAGCTGTACTTATCTTAGGCCCTATTAACATTAGAAAACAGGAGGTTTAAAATACATGCACTGTCATTAAGGCACCTGGTTTCGTGTCAAATACAATTGTACTTTAGGTACTGCACACTAAAAATTTATATTTACAATTCAGTATGCCTATTTTTTTTAAATGGTCAGTCTAGCCATCATATTAAGAATACGTATGGCTAGCCAACCAGTCTAGCCGTACTTAAGTAGTCTAGCCGTCATTAAGTACGGCTAGCCTCTTCCATAAAGAAGACCCCTAACCGAGACTTGATGCATGTCATTACATGTACCCCATACCGGCACATACTGGGTTTTCTGTCATGGCGTGTACCCCATACCGGCACCCCCTACACCCCATACCAGCACCCTCAAATTGAAGCACAACCAGGCGTTTGAAAAGAGGAAAGAAGCAAAGACGAACTCCTTTTGTACAGTGGGCCTAAGACAGAACTAATGTTTATTGACATACTAAAAAGAACAACCACCAGAACAGACTCACATACATCTTACTCACATATATGAGCAATTGCCAAAACGTGACACTCTCTTGAGACTCAGTGGTGCAAAAAAATTTTTCTTACCAATTTGACTCTCTTTTCTGTCAGTCACAGATTGACATTTAGTGCTCATATTCCTAGAGTTTCACAGCAAGGAGACGTACGGTTTTGGAGATATGGGTCTATTGGTTTGGCAACTACTGTATTTCTTGTATGTAACAGTGATGACAAAAACAGATAAGCAGCAAGGCAAATTATAGAATTTAAATTCCATTTGTTTATAGTACTTAAACAAACACTTTGTACACTATGAACTCCATTCATAATGGTAATATGAATGACAAGCATTGTAACAATGATGCAGTGCACAGAACATGTCATCATTGTTATGTACAAGAAAGGATACACATTGGACATTATCATTGACAACACACCACAATAGTGAAAGGCTGTACAAATACAGTTATCAAAGCCTCAGTACCAGAAAAACACATGTGTTAAACAATTTTTTAACTAATATGAGGCAAAAGCACAAAATCAATGGAGCTGACTTGTACATAACAGTGATGACAAACATGACTTGTACATAACAATGATGACACAATGTACAGGAAAAGACAAAAGTCTTGCCTCCAGAGATAAAAGCACACTTTAAGAATTAAAAAAAAACAGGAGAGGTTTCTTTTGCTTTGAAACAGATACCAGGTCATATCAAAGACAGTGGACAATCACAATTATGTGGCTAATTATGACAAACAGTACTCGTACATAACAGTGATGACAAAACATACTGGGAAAAGGTAAAATCATGCCTACAAAGAACAAATTTGCACTAAGAGATACACAGATCAATAAAGGCGTATTTTGCTTCTAAATGAATCTTGCATGTATGAAATATATGTTGAAAACTTATTGATATTACAATTATGAAAAATATTACTTGTACATAACAATAATGACACAATGTATTGGAAAAAGGTATATCATACCAACAGAGAACAAATGTGTATTTTTGAGTTAGACAGATAAACAAGGACATGTTTGTTTATTTGTTTGAGTAAAGAAAGCACACATTACTTTAAAAATGTTTGCTCTTAGGACAATGTAATATCTTGTACGTTAGTCAGTCTTGTACGGCTGCATGACGACACCCCAAACGTCATCACTGAGCACAAAAGCTAAATCTATAACCACAGAAATGATCCATCTCTCGAAGTTTGTTCACACATCACACTCTTGTTCCAGGAATCCAGTGTAAACACAATTTCACTAAAATATTCAACAGAGTAGCCTAAAAACACGCAAAACAGCCCAGTATGTCACATTCAATGCAAAATTCTTGTGCGTCACCGGACACTGAAGGCAATGACTACTTTCGTTTTTCTGTTTCCCCCGTTGCTTCCGTTGTTCTGAGGATGCGGGTATGGGGAAGTCACTCAAGAAAACAATTATATCCGGGCACTTTTGATGACCCGTTCAAAACAAAAGTGGGCGAAATTCGGACTTTCGGCACGTCGCAAATTGACGACAATAACGGCGAATGTTAAACAGCCGACCGAAATCGTAGATCTAGGAACCTGATGTTCCTTTCGCGCATCGCGGCTTTTGAAGTATTGAATAAACGATGATAGGCAAAGAGATTTAACCAGCTTTGGTGATTCTACTGAAAAATAATGGTGTTTTCTGAAACACCTAGTCCGTGACGACACGACAGACGCACAAGTAATCCGAATTGTTTGTCTATTTGCAAACAAATAAACCGATTTCTTGAGCAAGTTAACCTTTCTCAATGACAAATAACATAGGATCAAAGCACACCCAAAAATACTAAATTTTGGACATTCTTGGAAGTTTGCATTGGTGTGCTCAAATGGCACTCCAGGAATCACTAAAAAACGAACATTTTTGGCACAAAATTTACAAACTCAAGATTGTAAAGCTGACAAGGGGTCTGAAACTGCTAATGCAGGTTCTACATCCTATATTTGACATATGTATAAGTTTTGGAGGAATAAATACTAATGCATCACATTTTATGCACACTAATGTGAGATGTGTGTGTTTTTCCCCACGTTTTGGCAATGGCTCATATAGGTACATGAATGTTTAATTTTACTCTTCCACACATATCACAAACTCATATGAACATCTTCCTCACACACAGGTACATGAATGCTTCTTTTTACTCTTCCTCACATAACAAACTCACTTGAACATATTTTACTCACACACAAGTACATGAATGTTTCATTTCACTCTTCCACATGTATCACAACGAACTCACATGAACATCTTACTCGCACACATACATGAATTTCTCTGTTGTTTCTTCTTCTTCTTCCCTGCTCTCTGCTTCTCCAACTCGTTAACTTTTTCTTCTCTTTTCTCTTCTTCCTTCTCCACCCTTTTCTCCCCCTTTCTCTCTTCCTCTTTTCCACTTCTTCCTTTTTTCTTCTCTTCTTCCAATTTCGTCGCCTCCTCCCATGCTTTGTACTTTGCCCCTAATTAAGATATACTTAGGGGCCTGAGCCCGCTTCTCTGTGTTGAAACCATAGAGTTCCAGCTTGCTGGTACGGGCAGGTTGGCGAACGAGGGGGCAGGAATGAGTTGATTGTACAAATCAAGGTACTTTCTGTATGCCCCCTCATTCTCCTTAGGTTCGATTTTGTGCCAATGGCAACGGTGGACCCAATGCATGTCTGATGCCATCCATCCAGTAGCAATGGCGTGATCTATTAGCTTGTCAAGGACAAAGCAAAAGTGTTGTCCCGAGGCAGTTTTTGGGGGGCTTGGGGTGTCACTAGAGTTTCATCCTCCAATGGTCTCAATGCCTGCTCAGGCAGACAATAGTCATGGTCCTGGTTATCCACAGGATCCCGAGCTGGTGTGTTGAAACCAAAGGTAGCTGAAACTCTGCTGCAAGATCCAGGAAGTCCTCGGAGGTACATTTGATCCCCGAGAACTCCAGACCTGTGGTCAAAAAGTTTAGGGCATCAACTGACCACTCACAACTAGAAACAAGGGCAGTTGGGGGAGGGCCAATAAGTTCTTCTTCTGTAACTGAAGCAGTAGGAGCAGGAACCATATCACAACATGTGGAAACAGTGGCTGGAGGAACATCATCACAACATACATTGGACAGAGGAACATCATCATTACAGACAACGGGTGGAGGGAAGGGATAGAGTTTCCTTCATATAAATTTGTTTCAAACATTAAAAAAGAAAAATCTAAAGTCGCTCATTTTCTAATGAATCCGTGTCTAAATAGATCTATCTAGATCTAGATCTATATCAAATCATAGAAACTGAAAAATCTAAAGTACTAAGATGCCATCCATAGTCCGTCAAGAAATAACTATTTTTAAAGTCACGCACCATGTAAAAAATATGGTGCCGGTATGGGGTACATCCGTCAAAAATTGTACCCCACACCAGCACCCCCGCTACCGTCGTCAATTGTTACAACAAAGAGCAGCGAATGGTTTGTGGTGGTAACTTGACACTTTATAAACTGAATAAAAATGCGAAACGAATCCTGCGGGTACGATTACAGAACCAATACCTTATTTTCCATGACACATTGCACATCTGCTAGCCGTAATGGCTGAACGTGGTTCTTACCTTTGGAGTTGAAATGGATTATTTCTGCTCACACAGGTGTCTGATTCTGCTCAAAATTGTTGAACTTGAAAACAAAACAATATTGAACGGAATTGTATAGCAGACATCATTCCAGGTTATCATATAATTTTCTGGTTGTCCAATTTTGGGCCGAATGCGTGCTTAGTGCCGGTCTGACGTACGTGTCGGTATGCCGTATTTAGGCTATAGATCTAATCTAGATCTAGTAATTATTCAGGTTTAAAATGGCCACCTCTATTCCGGGGTGAATAACGCAGGCATGCCTTGCCTTTTGGCTATTCTCACCGGGTGTGCGTTCACCGTTATAGTTAGCCTTGGCCAACCAGTGTAGCGTTCACCCTGAACCACAGAATTCTACACTGATTTATAACAGAATTGTAGAATTCTGTACCGTGAACAAACGTTCCAGTGCTCTTGTGTTACTACTGTTACTGTTAGCCTAAGAAAAGCGTGCAATTTTGTATGTGGACTGTGGGCAGTGGAAAGAGAGAGAGAGAGAGGAGTAGCGCGAGAACTTCCAGGCAAAACAAAATGGCGATCCGCATAGTTCGGCTCGATTCGAAAAGTTAAATAGCCATAGCCTGCGTAGCATCTTTGTATAGGATCAAATTAATTTACTTATGTTTTGGCATAATTTTTAATCTTTGTTTTGGTCAATTTGATCGTCCACATCGATAGACAGCATTCAGAAAGAGACCGAGAGAGAGAGAGGGGAGGAGAAGATCTTGCGAGAACTTCCGGGCGAAACAAAATGGCGTCTCGCGTAGTTCGGCTCGATTCGAAAAGTGAAATAGCCATAGCATCTTTGTAGACGATCAAATTAGCTTACTTTTGTGCTATAACGTCATTTTTTCTTTGCTTTTGTCAATTTGATCATTCACACTGATAGACAGTAGTCCGAAATTAGGAAAAATAGGTCTTGTTTCTCACCTGGTGAGAATAGCCAACGCTGGGTGAGAGCTCGATTGTATTTTTATTCTCACCCCGGGTGAGGATAGCCACATCCTTTGAAATACATGCAAGTCAGTAAGGCACCTTTTCGTTTTGTCTGAAATACAATACTTCAGGCATTGCAAACTAAAAATTTCATTTACAATTCAGCCGTCAATAATAAGTACGGCTAGCCTAGCTGTCTAGCCGTACTTGTCCCTTTTTAATGCTCTCGATGAGGTTAACCAACTTTTGTGGGATTCCGTGATGTCTCAGTATCTTCCACAGTGTAGCTCGGTCTATGCTGTCAAAGGCCTTCTCATAGTCAAGAAAGTTGACAATCCTCAGCGTAGCAATCTGGTCCGTGGTTGACCGATTTGAAGTCTTGGATCCATTGCAAACTTGATTCTCTCAAGAATGATTCTGTTGAAGACCTTACCTGGTATTGTATTGAGAGAAGAGTGATTCCTCGGTAGTTGCTGCAGTTGCTGAGATCCCCCTTTTTAGGGAGTTTCACGAGGTGTCGTTCTTTCCAATCCTTTGGGAACTTGCTCTCATTCCAGATCCTGGTAAACAAAACAATGGGAGAAAGAGGACTGCCGTCCCAATGGCATCTGCTTTTCGGGCCTCTGGTGAAATCTGATCAGGACCGACCGCTTTACCGTTGTTTAGCTTCTTAATTAACTCACTGACTTCTCAGGACCACCTGTCTAAGTTGACTACTTTTCTACTTGACAACATGTGGTCGTCTTGGACAGATTTGACTGTATTCTGGAATCTCAATTTTCTTCCTTTGGTCTCTGAGTTGTGCTGAGTAACTTTCTGTCATTTTTGTTGGTTCATTATTACTCACTGTGGAGTGTGGATGTGCTTTTTTTGTGTTAAATGAAAGACTGTTTATCTTCTTAGATCTAGACACCCGGTTTTTATAGCTCAAATTAGGTCCCACTCGCATTATAGGCTATGTATGGCTGCCTTTACTCCCTGTGCATTCTCAGTATTCTGAAAATCATCAGTATTTGAACTGAAGCTCACTGACACCTTTATTATTTTTCATGCTTGATTTTATCTGAGACTTCATTACAATATGTGAGGCATCATGGTGAAATCAGGCACTCGTCAAAATAATGAAATTGAAGAAACTAGCCTTTTTAATGTATTTGGCAATTTTTATCAAATTTTTAATTTTTGGCCCAACTTCTTGTATGTCCTTTAAAAAACACATTGTTTTTGTGGATTTTATTGAAAAGAGTTGATTAATGGCATGCAAATTGTAAACTTACAGTTTCCAAAGGCTCTCAAGCTTTGGAAATCACTAAACTTTGGCGGCCGTTTTCTCGTTAATTTTGCCTCTGAAACCAAGCTACCTTTACCTCCTTCAATCAAAAATATTTCGACTTCTATTCAAGATAGACAGGAATTTTTTCGTCAAAAGATATACAACTGAACAAGCTTTATGACTGTTCCAATAACTCCATATATGGCCAAAAATTGATGAACGCCTGATTCCACCACGTCGTGACACATTACTTTGATTTGTCTTTATTTCTTCTTTTTTACTCTTTCAGACTTGGCTTGTGCGAATTGTAAATATCTGCACTTTTTTCATGGTCATGGTAAGTCAGTTCTTGTATTGTCAGTAATTGTAATTGTTTTTGATTTGCGCAATTAGTCTAGATGATAAAGTTAATGTTACAGCATAATTATAAACTTTCATTTTCATTAAGATGAATTAGCTCATTAACTTATCTAGATGACTCATCACCTCTCACCCATAGTTCCTGATTTGATGCTCGGTTGAGGCTCGCATAGTTTGAGGAATGCTTGGGGTTTTCATCTGTTTTTTCCCGCCGCTTTAGTGGAGAAACCCTTGGGGTAGGTCCCCTTGTCCTTTGTGGACATGACAACTGCTTCACAAGAGGCCAAATAAAATTTGAACACCACTGGACAAATTTAAGTGATATCTAACAGTTGATGCACTTAACCTAAAAAGAAAGAAATACACCCCAAAAACAAAATGTGTTCCAGTGGGAAATCATGAGAAGTAGACTTCACATTTCTTTTTTAAATGACATGAAATAATGTTCTAGTTTTGATACTCATGTTTATATGACTGTGCACCTTTTATAAGATGACAGATATAATTAATATTAATGTGTTATATTGTTTCATTTTGTGCTTTTTCAGATCTCTGTGATCTTGTGTTTTGTTCAAGGCCACAAGAATTCATCCTATTATCTCATTGTTTGTAACCTAGCAAGTAAGTTTGTACTTATACTTTGAATCTATTGCCTTGTCACTAACAGAATGGGTGGGTGATTGGCGGGTGCTCTGAATTTGGTTGCTTCTACTTTCCTGTCAAACAGCTGTCTTCCTTGTCTCTTCTCCTTTTTTTTGTTTGTTTATTAATCTCTTGTAACGCCTAATCCTCTGCACTTACATGACGTACTTGTTTTGAAAATGCAGTAAAATTCTTACTAAAACAAAATAACAGAATTGGATGGTATGGTAGTGATTAAATTCACCTTTCAAAATATACATGTAGTATGGTTATATTTATAAAGTAGAGTTGTGACTTTTGATTCAATGCCTGTCTTCGATAGGACCGAGATGATGGACAGCCTTGAAACTTTTTCAAAGAACTAAAGTTTGGGGGTTCTGCCCAGAGCTGGTTGCTCCACATTTCAGTACAAATCTAAATGTGTGGGCAGCTTGCCCACTGTTTTTTAAACTGAGGACAGTACTCTTCAATTATAGCTGTTCAGTTGTATTTTAAAAGATAGCATTATAATGGATGGGGAATAGGATGTATATCAATCGATTACAGTGAGCTAAAATCTGAAGGAGCACACAGGACACGTATTTGTATTGAAGGAAATGTTAAACAGATGGGGTAAAAAGCCAATGGTAAGTAAGACTTATTTATATTGACTCATCATCATAATCAGCTTTCTTCACCCTTTACTGGAGTATGGGCTACCAACAAGAGCTCTCCATACATGTACTTCTGGCCCGTGAAATTGAATGTTCATCCATTTCATATTATATGTTGGAAGGATGAGACACATTTGATTTAGACTTCCATTAAAAAAGAAATAATAGGCCTTGAAGCATATGATGCTCTTGTTGTGAATTCTGAAAAATTGAAATTAAATATGATGTTTAAGCTCTTAAGATTGTGTATTTTTTGTGTGTGTGTTCCTTATATTATGGCAAACAAGATGGACCCCCCCCACCCGGGCTGTGCTACTGACTGAAGTGTCTTTAGGTCACTCCCAAAGGGGGGACATTAACCATGTTCTTATGCAAAGTAGAATTGTAATTGTAAATGGGCTGATTCATCAATGTCACGCTCATAACTGTGCCTGAACTTCAACCGGGAACTGCTGCTTTTTCTTTCCTCCTCCTTACTATCGTCATTTTTCCTCTGCTTCTTTTGTATGTTTGTCATACTCTTGTGACCCGTAATTTCCGGGGTGCCTTGATAGTCAAAGCAGACTTTGTGTTGTTGAAGCTAGAGAGGTGAGCAGAGTAAGTCTGATTCCTTGTAAGAACTTCTCTGTTGACATCCATCCCTTGGCGCTCATATAACCTTATGCAGTTGTGAGCACCAGAAAACCTGTACCAAAAAAAAACAAAACCCCAAGATGGAAGTTTAAAAAAAATTATTGATCTTATTGCTTTGTGAGAGCAAAAAATTATGTTTTTCCTTTATCGTTTTTTGCACCAAAGGCTTTTCTGCTTTACTGCTCCATAGAAGGGATGATGTATGTCTAATATCACTCTTTAGGGTATTCTTCTTTAATTGTGTTCTCTCCATGAAGAGAGACAGTCACTCTTCAAACTTTACAATATTTGTCAGTTGATATTATTATTTTCTTTTTTTTTTCCAGTCAGTGGTTTCGTCTGCATAGTTGTGGTGAGTACTAAGCTGTTTTGTGTTGGAAATGAACTTGGACATTTGTTTTTTTGGTCCATCTTTAAAAGTACAGCCGAACTTGTTTAAGATGGCCACACATTGTTAAGGAGAAAAGTGGCCTTAGAAGACAGGTGGCCATCTTAGGCAGGACTAATCTAAATGAAGAAGACAAACCATTCCATTCCAAGGTCCCAACCGGAGGTGGTCAAAGGCTTATGACTGCTGTATGACTAATTGTAATGGGTTTTTTTTATGGAAAGGGGGGGGGGGGGGGAGAAGATTGTTGTTGTTATTTTTTTGTTGGTTAGTTTTTTAAATATTTTTTTTATTGGTTAGCTAATTAGCTTTTTAATAAACAAAATGAAATGTGTCAGACGAGGAAAACTGAGTGCCTACATATCATCTGATGGAGGACTGACTATAACAACAAGTGGTTGGATTATGATGGCTCGTCCAGTGTCAGGGGCCAATACTATAATTTATGACGAAATGTCAGGTGATGAGAGATTTGTGTGGCCATCTTAGTCAGGTATCCTTGGTTTGTTGACAAAATATGGTGGCCGCGGCCTTGTTGGAAAAGTGACTGTTTTACACAGTGAAAATATTTTGAAAAAATGCGGAGAGGGGGGAGGTGACAGTATTATGCACATGGCCGTCATGGCAGGTTCGACTGTACTACTTTTGTTGTAGACTGTTGATCTATTGTTGTTATTTTTGTCATTACTATTCACCATGTGAGGCTGTTTTTAAGATTATGAATGTAATCTGCCTTGGCATTTCCACATAGCCACAGAAATGTAAAGAATTTTTTTTTTCACGGAAATGGGCATTTGGTGACAAGGATGACTGAGAACTGTTTGTTTTAAAGCCACCTTGCTGTATCTTAACAAATGGTCACTTTGCAGATTTTTACCTCGTTTTACTACTTTACTCCTTATTACATATAGCGGGTAATTTATTTTACTCTTTTCCTAAAGATTCACAATTTTTTAATATTGATAAAACTCAAGAATGTACTTGTACTTCAGACACATGAATAACATGACTTGACAGTAGATTTAATAAGCAGCACGGAAAGAATATTAGTTTGAGGCATTCTGTAGACAATGGTTCACTAATGGTATTTCTGTAATATTTTACAAGTGCACCTTAGCATGTATGAGTTCAACAGGCTTTTGACTAGACCTTCACCAAGGGTCTTGATGTTTATGATGATTAAGTTACCAGAACTGATTAACTGAGCAGTAGAGATACTGAGAGCATATCCTAGAAATAAAATGTCTACGTCTTGTAGTAGAAGAGGCTTACTGTACTACTGCAGTGTTATAGGTTTAAAATGTTGATTGGATAGTTTGAGCGTACATTAGTCAGATGTCAGATGGCCAGAAGCCTTTTGCTGGTTTTGTGTATAATCACATGTAGTTAAGCATAGTTTAGATGTGCTTTATTTTGGGTGAGGGTGTCTTTCAGAGAACCCTTTTACATTAATTGTCAGAATGTTATAAAAATAATTTGGCTGTAACAAGAGCTGTAGTTTTGTAACTTTTTACTGAAACAAAGAAGACCTGGTGGTGAAAGATTTTGAAATAGGAAAATATGTAAGTGTAGCTCATGTTAAACACTAAGGCGTACATTACGAAATGATTTCCACATTCTTACGATTTTGGTATGTGCATGCTAGACTGTACAAGTTCATTCTTGATGCCCTTCTTTAGTTAAATAGATATGAACGAGTCAAACTCTGTGATAGTCATGTTTTTCTTTAAAAGTGTCTCTTTTTTTTCCATTTTTTTTTTTCAGAATTGGTGGTACAAAACAGGAGACTTGGTAAGTCCTCACAGACTTGTAACTATGGAGCATGGGTCAGCAAACTTTTCAGTCGTGGGACCACTGCGACTCAGCCTTTGACAGCAAAGGGTGACCAGCACCTTGTGGTCATTATAAAAAAGAAATTGAGAGAAAAATCACTATTATATATGGTAAAATTATAAGACTATGTTTATACAGCATGGAATGAAACCAGGTCTGGAAACATAGAGATTAGATTTCTACAGCACTACAAAATCTATTTTTGGATCCTCAGGTACTTTGAAAAATTTATGTGATTGCTCTTACCAAAATGTATTGATTAATTTTTTTTAAAAGTTTGCTGAAAGTTTCTTTGGGTTGCACAAAACTTTGTGGAGGGCCAAATTGGCTGGTTTGGCAGAGCTTGCCCTCCCCTGCTCCAGAGGGTTGAGATGTATGTCTTAATGCTTCTCCTGTGTGTAACCTTGGAGTGGGAGTCACAGTCTCGGAAACCTGCTCCATTTGAAGCAAGGATCTGAAAATTTCATGCTAAAAACACCGTCAGTTTTGTCCAAATTTTTTCCTATAGGTTACATAGTGATTGTCCTTTAATTTGGGACAAAAAATGCATTTGACTATATTTAGCAGATGCTCTGTTGTAGCCATATACCGATGATATGCAATTCTGTCTTTGTTGGACAAATCAAGGTGCAAAAACATTTAGCAGATACTCTGTTGTAGTCATATACCGATGATATGCAATTCTGTCTTTGTTGGACAAATCAAGGTGCAAAAACATTAAGTCAATGCGTTTTTCTCAGACTGGTTGGGGTGGGATAATAAAATAGGTGGCTGTCCTACCAATAGGAGGCACAACTCCCTCACGGGCACAGTGTGAATTTGCAACCCCTTTCATCACTGTGAGGTCATTTCAGAGGCGGGACTTTCTAAACTAACATCCATCTTTGAAAGGACTGAGCAAAGAATGTGGAGAACCTCGAAAACCCCCAAAACAAACCGAGTTAAAAAATGTTACATTGGGGATTCATATCAAGGTCATCAGCATAACTCTCTGAAGGAGGAATGCCACACATTTCCCGCCATACCTGTTTTAACTCCCACAGTCTAAGACAGCAACCTGTCTGAGACAACCACTTTCCTCCATGGCAATGGGTATCCATCTTTGACAATTCTAACTGTACATATACCAACCATATCTCTGGCATAGGGATAGGATCTTGTCTCCATATTTGCTTGGTCTTTGGTCTCACTCTCAACCAAGGGTCTTATCTCATAAAAGAGTATCCTCTGCCTCCTCCTCTCCCCCCCCCCTTTCTCTCTCTCTATTTGTCTGTATCTCTTTGTCCCCCCCCGACTTCCCCTCAACACACACACTTTTGTTACTGAAGGTTCTAGTCTAGTAGCTCGGGTATTGAATTTACAGTGGTATCATCCTGGGTTTGATGACCAGGCCACTTACGAGAATGTTTTTAAATGTTGGTGTTTTTTACACCCCATCAGCACAGTGTAGATCTTTCAGGAGATGGGCTTGGACCTTGCCTGTTGGGGCCAACCTGTTCTGATAGGGATACAGCTTCACAGCAGAAAGTCAGTCATTACTCGGTAAAAATTCTCCCCATGGAGGGATCAAACTCAGGTCTTCTGCATGCAGTGGCAAAGTGTCTAACTGCTATGCCACAGATGCCAGTGCTAGAAAGTTGTATCCTTCAGGGGGTTCTGTATTTTCATAAGTTCTCTCAACTACAAATATATTAGTGGGGCCGCTTAGCAAACCTATTGTGCATTTTGTGATACAAGCACCAAACTTGGCACAAATGTACATTAACATATCGAAATCATTTTCAGATATTGGGCCACTCGGATTTCTCTCTTAATGACCGCCATATTGGATTTAAAAATGGCCGTCATTTGAAATCTATATTTTTTATTATCTCTGGGTCTAATGCTGCTATTGACTTCATTTTGGTGTCTAAATGTATGTTTTTGGGGTCAAGAAAGCCAATGGTAACAATCTGAATTGCGTATTTGTACTAATGAGTCGCCATATTGGGTTTCAAAAAGACTGCTTTACATTGCATGGCTGCTTCTCGATCTACATTCGTCATTATCTTGTCGCCGTTACATGTTTGGAGAAGCCAAACCCTTCACAGGGTTCCCTGGAGGATGCCAAGAAGAATCTGTTTTGCAACCATTGCTGCTTGCCTTAGTCAGCATGATCCTAGAGAGACCCAGCATCAAGGACCAGATGGCAGACACTAACCTGCAGCAATTACCGCAGCCTAGATACTGAAGTTCAACTGCATAAAACACAAGCGAACACGTGGCATCACATCATCCACCTGTGTCAGACACACTGTTGTACAGGAGACCCCACTTCCAACATACATTAAGATGATGTTGCATGTTCATACACACAAGAAGGAATTGATCGACAGACTGTCACACCTTGGCCTGAGTATCTCTTATGATAGAGTGCTCCAGCTCTCAGCAGAGATGGGCAACCATGTCTGCCAACAATTTTACAGAAAACAAGTGGTCTGACCTCCAAAAGTGCGTGGTGAAGACTTCACAATTGCCGCTGTAGATAACATAGATCACAATCCTAGTGCAATAACATCAAAAGACTCCTTCCAAGGTGCCGCTTTCTCCCTCGTACAACATCCTTCTTACACTGGTGAAGGAGTAAATCTGAGCATATTCGTTGCTGGAGAATCTGGAGATGCACGGTCCAAGACCGTCGCCCCTTTGCCGCACTATTATACTGATGTACCCCCTGTCACTAGCAGCATCAAGACGTCGCCTGTCCCAGCTGCTGGAGTTGCGTCATTGACCAGAGAAGACTTCAAACAGTAGACTGATGAAAAATACCATTGGTTAGGCAATGCAAGACACGCCCTGGGAGACAACACTGGTACATTGGACAATAAAAACACATCTTGGGCTGCATTTCATGCCAGCCGACAGCCACCAGAGGGTAGAGTCATCTGCCCCACATCGCTGCTTCCACTCTTCCTGGAAAGTGCTCACACTGTGGCAAGGATCAGCATTCAATGGACGTTGTGAAGACAGCTGTAGAACACCTGAATCCTGGACAGGCACCAGTGGTCTCATTGGATCAGCCACTGTTTGCTTTGACCAAGCAGATACAGTGGAAGTGGCCAGAGAGTTATGGTGAAGCCCATATAGTGGTGATGTTTGGTGGTCTACACATAGAGATGGCAGTACTGAAAACACTGGGGGACTGGCTGCAAGGGAGTGGTTGGGTGGCAAGCACTGGTGCAAGCCGCGAGTGCGACAGCAAGGACAGCAGACTCATTCCAGCGAGCATCTCAAGTCTTGCGCACATGAAGAGCACATCAAATGACTGCAGCAGCACTGTACATCCTGCAACACCATGCCTACAACCACTAGTGTCTGGGAGAAACCATCTAGTGTATGTGCGTTCTCTCAGGCAGGGATCATTGATGATGTACCTCGATGCTCTGACAGAGCTGGTCACCTGGTTCCA